GGGTGACGGCGGGGAAGCCGCGGCGGGGCCCGGGGGCTGCAGCTCTCTGGCTTCCCGACTCGCTTTGCAGACACTTGCCACCTTCAGAGGAGGCACAAATCCCCGCGGAGCTGAGCAAGGGGTACGGGGAGTGCAGCTGGGTGCAGCGAGCTGGGGCGGGGCTGTGACTAGGGGAGGGTGTGCGCAGTCCCGCAAAACCCGCACCCAAAACCAGCCCGAAACAACCCCAGAGCCCAGAGCAAAGCGCCGCGGAATCGCGCCGGCCCCGCCCAGGCCCGTCCCCCGGCTCGCGCCGGCCCCGCCCTCCGGCCCGCCCGACCCCGCCCTGCCCGCCCCCAAGAACGCCGCTGTCCCCGCTCCCCGCCTCGCTCCCCTTGTCCCGGAAGAACTCCCGGACGGGACGTGACCGCGGAGCTCCCACCCGCCCTTCCCCGGCCCCAGCAGCGCCTGCCGGGGCTGCGGCGGCGGCGGGAGCCGCGCTGAGGGAACGGGGGGCGGGGCCGCGCGGGGGGCGGGGCGGGGCTGAGCGGGCAGGGCGGGGCCGCAGGGACAGGCGGGCTGGGATTGGGCGGAGGCGCTCGAGTGCTGATTGGGCAGCGGCTGCCGGCCCGCGGTATGGACGGTCCGGCGGGACAGGCGGCAGGTGCGGCTGGTTGTGCGTGAGGGCTGAGGATGCGGCCCCGCTGCTGGCCGGGCTGCGGAGGTGAGAGCGCCTTGTCCGCTGTGTTTATGGACTAGGGGAGCTGGGGGGTGTTTAGGTGCGCGTTATGCTGGGCGGCGGGGGCCGGGTAAGCCCGTTACCTGCTGGATGACCGCAGTGGGAGCCGTGGCAGGGCTGCGGGGCTGGTGCTCTCTGTGTGTCTTGGGTTTTGCTTTGGAATCCCAAACCCTTTCCCCGTGCAGGGTATGAGGCAAAGACTGCTTTAACTTGGTTTTTTGGTGCTGCATTAATGCTTTTTGCTCGTTCTGTGTGAATTTGCAGCCTCGCTCGTGGTTTCCCCTGGTGCTGGCGGAGTGGAGGCGAGTTGTGCTTCCTGCTGGGAGAGAGAACGGCCTTGGGAAGCTGCTCCATGAACCACAGCTGTGCCGAGCCTGGGAGTCTGTCCAGGTAAGAGCAGGGCTTATACTCCCAGTGAGGAGCTGGGTTTTGCTGTTGGAAGATAGAATATGCACGTGCCTTTAAATGCAAGGACAGGCAGAAGCTGGGAGAGACGCTGAGCAGGTTTGGTGGCGCAACAGCAGTTTTAGAAGACCTTGACTGTGGGGAAAGTGTCCAGGAAAAATGATTCCTTTTTTGCAGGGAGGCAGTTTGCAAGGACAGAGGGGTTGCTGTGCTCTCTAGCAAAAATAGTCCCCTTGGGATGTACAGGGTGAGGAAATCTTGGCCACGTGTGGGCTGGAGAAAAGGTGTGTGGGTGCCTGTGTGTGACACCCGTGTGTGTGCAGGAAGGGGGTTCTGGTGCCATTGGAGCTGCCAGGGAGCCAAAAAGGGCACAGTTGTCTGAAAAAGGCAACAAGTCTCAGCCTCTGTTGACACCTGTACCAAAGGAGATGCAGATTTTCCCTTTCTCATCTGCAGACTTCACAAAGCTCCCCAGGAAAGGAAGCTTTAGATTCCTCCCCAGCTTTATGCTAAAGGTTTCCTTCCTCCTGTCTCAGCAACCTTTCTGCTGCACAAGGAACTCATACAACTGCGATTTTACTACAGCCGATTAACTTTGCCGATTAACTT